CTGGTTTCTATTATAATGTGTTAGAAGAGCTCCAAGAAGGCAAACAGAACATGTGTTAGTGAACAAGTCTATTCTGTCCTCGGTGTCGCTCTTACTTTTGTCCCACTGGACACATTGGTCAGAGTACTGGAAGGGAATGTTATCCAAAGTTGTGAATACAGAGATGCAAGAATAGTTTATGTAGCAATCAAAAGATTATTTTCTTAAAGTGATTAAAATTCTTGCCATAAATATCCTAGTACCTTTTATTCTCAAAAAGATAATTTATACTGAATCAATCCTTTAAATTGATTGGTGGCTCTAAGGCAATGAAATTCAAATTGGGTCATTTCTGATCATACCCCCAAAACATTTTACTAATTTATATACTCTAGACTCAATCCTGCCCTTGTAAAAACACACCAAATTTAATGCCTAATATTAAGTGTAGTGTGCATTTTTTTGAAATTCAAAAACCAAGCATGATGATAATATCTCCATTCAAAGTAGTATGTGGTAGACAACACTATACAGGTTAAAAACATGAGACTTAGCATAGCAGAAAGCCATTATCCCGTTACCTGCCACTCTATTATTCATCATTCAATCTTTATGAACTTTAAGCATTAAATTTTTGTTTCATGTTTACTTTGCATTTATTTGACTCTCAGTAAGACTGGCATTTAAAATTTTTAATGAATACTTGGGATTTTTAAAAATAAGTGGGCTGTTGCCCTGGCCAGGGTGACTCGGTTGGAGCTTAGGACCAGACACTAAAAGGTTGCGGAGTTTGAGTCCTGGTTATGGCTCCCACTCACCTTGCTTGTTCCATCCCTGGTCAGCGTGCATATGAGAGGCAGCTAATTGATGTTTCTCTCACATCAATGTTTCTCTCTGTCCCTCTTGGTTCTTCTCTTTCAAATCAATAAAAGCATATCCTCAAGTGAGAATTTTAAAAAACAAAGTAAAAAAATAAGGTAAGTTGGACTGTTAATTTTTTAGCTATTAAAAAATGTAGGTTGGTCCTGTCTTAGTGCTTTTAAGAGCTCTAAGTTCTAGTGAGGCTGCAGAGGAAGTGAATCTCATATTGATGGCGGGAATGGAAAATGGTGCTTGAATCTGGAAGGTAGTTTGACAATTTCTCATTATTTATGTGTACCCAAAACACAGGCACTTCTTTCCCTCCAGTGCTGTAATATATGTGACAGGTTCAGCTGGGTCCATATTTACGGTTTACAGTACTTCTTGTCTCGCCAAGCGTGGTATTTCACTTTCCACAAGAGTCAAACAGCGAGGCAACCAGATAAATTCAGGAGCTTCCCACCTTCCCTCCATCGCGGCTACTGGTTCCAAGGCGGGGTTTCCCTCTGTACGGAAGTCAGGTTGCCCAACATGGCGGCCCCCAGGGCCCCGCCGCCAGCGGACGCAGACATATTGCCTCGGAGGGGAACGCGGAAGTCGTGCGCGTTTCTTCAGGGCCTGAGAAACTCTCCGGCCACCGTAGGCAACGAAATCTCTGGGAGCCGGTTCCAGAAGCTGGTTCGCTTCGCGGAAGTGTAGCGTTTGGAGCCCCGGTGGGCTGGGGAAACAGGTGAGTGCGCTCCTGTCCTGGAAGATTTTGGATAAATTTGGGCTCGCGGGAGGTTGGGCTCGCGGGAGGTTTGTCTCGCAGGGTCCGGGACGTCACGGGTGGAAGAGGCGTGTTCTGACCCGTGAACTGTCGGCGGACTCGGGGGGCAGGGTCCCCAAGGTGCTCGGGAGGAAGCAGGCGAGACGCCCCTGCCTGGGGTTGGGGTACCTCGGGGTCCTCGGGCGATTAAGGGCCTGTAGAGTCGCCCCTGTCGTGGCCTTTGCGGGTCACTCTAAAGGACGGAGGTGGCGTCTCGGGTGCTCGCGGGTCAGGTTCAGGGTCGGGCCCTAACGTGGGCTCGGGGGTGTCGGGCCCCGAGAATGGCCTCCAGGCGAGGGCGTCGGGCCCAGGTCCGGGATAAGGAAGGCGCGTGGTCAGCCCGGGGGCCCCGAGACTCCCGAGGCCGAAGCTCCGGCCGCCCGGGCCCGGGCCTGTGGCTGCTTTCCGCGGCGCCGGCGCCCGGCGGGTTTCCTGCCGTCGGTGAGCTCGTGCGGGCTGCGGTCCGGCCGGTGGCGGACGACGCTGCTGTGAGGTCCCCGTCGTGTCCTCCGGCTCCGACGCGCCGGCCTGGGGGCGTGTGGGGCGCAGATGGGAACCTCAGGGGAGGCGGGCCCGGGGCCAGCGGCCAGGAGCCCCTGCTCCAGCCTTTGTCCGGGGCTCGGCTCGCTGCAGGGGACACAGGTCCACCCGCGCCCCTCAGTCACTCCTGTCCGGCTGCAGAGGCAGGACTGCGTCCTGGGAGGGAGACCCGTGGCCCTCGGGGCGGAAACACACGTCCGTCCCTTGCAGAGTGTGTGCCCGGCGTCTCCTCTCGCCACCGAATACGCAGCAGCGTGCAGCGGGTAACTGCGGCTCCTTTGCCTGCCGCGCACTCACACTTTCCTCTTGGCCAACAGAGGCTCCGTCTTGTTTAACACCCACCCGTCTGGGAGGGGCCCGTCCAGTGTATTAATCAGCCCTGGTCGGTCCTGGTCGCCGCGCCGGTTCCAGTTCCCATGGCTGGGGACTGAATTGCACGGAGGAGCTTAGGTAGTGGCGCATGGACTTCTACCAGCTGCATAAGTGCAAGTCGGCCTAGTGGCTTCTGGGGAACATTTTCTCCTTTAAATAGTAAATTTTTGAATCTCTTTTACCCTGTTGATGAAATATTGTCTGAATATAACCTTAAGTTCCTGTCCTGCTTTCTCATGTTTATAATTTATTGTTATCTCAATGCATTGGCTCAACTGTCCAATACAAAATTGGGAAAGTGGGGTTGTAGTGGACATCTGTGTCCTGTTGTCACCTGCTGCAGTGTCTGGAGTTAACAGTTTGAGAAATTTTCCTGTATTTTAGTCTTATTGATGTGCCTCTCCCGTTGAGAATGAGAGTTATCCTCCAAAATAATTTTTTGTTGTGTTTTGAGGTGGGGTTCAGTCTTCTCCCCCATCTTCCCCTTCCAGGATGGGTATCTGAGTGTCCCAGAGCCATTTTTCAAAAAGACATCCTTACCCTCTTCTCTGCAGAGCTTCCTGTGTCATGTCTCTATCCATGAGTCTGTTCATAGACATTTTATTTTGTTCCTTTGGCCAATTTGTCTATTGTACTGTCATAATTAAAGTAACTTTAAGCCCTCATAACTGATAGAGCAAGTCTTTCAACTTTTCTTTTAAAGGTGGATAGAGCTGTCAGTTAAGGATTTTGATTGGGATTCCATTGGGTCTATATGTACATTTGGGAGACATGACATCTTTAAAATGCTTGTTTTTCTGAGCCATCTTCACAGGCCACCTTTCCATTTATTTAATGAAGTCTGTTCAACTTTCTCTCAACATTTCATGCTACTTTTGAAATACCTTTGAAGTTCTTCCAAATGACAGTTTATAAATTTTATTTTGTTTGTTGATGGCCTGTTTGTCTGTCAGTTACTGGGGGAGGTATGTTGAAAACTTGTACCATTAGCCTAATTTGTTTATTTCTTCTTGGGTTTTGGTCCATTTTTACTGTACACATGTCAAGGCTATATTATTAGGTGCATTGAAATTGCAAACTTTTATAAGACATTGAATTAAACCTCTTACCAGTGAGTGTTTTCTCTTTCTCTGTAGTAATTTTGGGGTTTTCTGGTATATTTTGTCTGACAATATAGTTATACCAGATTATTTGTGGTGACTTGTTTTCTTAATATATCTTTTCCTAACCTTTTATTTCAAGCTTTCCATATCATTATGTTTCAGACATGTCACCTATAACAACATGTTATTTGGTTCAAAAATTTAATTGAGTATGACAGTTTTCAGGTGTTTGTATTTATTGTAATTAACTGGAATTTTTGTTATGTTTATATGTAATATAATTTTTGGTGTGTTTTGTCTTATTTATTTAAATATATATTTCTTTTATTGATTTGAGAGAGAGAGAAAGACATTGATTCTTTATTCTACTTATACATTCATTGTATGTGCTTGATTGATTCTTATATGTGCTCAGACCTGGGGTCAAACCCTAAACCTTGGCATATCAGGATGTTGCTCTAACCAACTGAGTTAAACGGCCAAGGCAATATGGTTTTTTTTGACATAGTCATCTAAGTGTGTGGTACTTGTTCCAGTTATTCTCTTTTCTGTGTTTTATTTCTATTTATCTATTTTTGCCTTGTTTGGAGTGCTTTTATTGACTTCAGAGAGAAAGGAAGGGAGATGGAGAGAAAAAACGTTGATGTGAGAGAGAAATATCAGTCAGTTGCTTACTGTATGCACCTTACTGGGGATTGAACCTATAATCTGGGTATATGCCCTGACTGGGAATCGAAACAGTGACCTTTGGGTACATGGGACTATGCTTAACCATTTGCGCCTCACCAGCCAGGTGTCAGGTGATATTTTAAAATTATTTTCCCCCCATCTATTAGCATGAAAATTATGTACTTTAAGACAACTGTTATTGTTCATCCTGACACTAGATACTATGTACAGCCTGGAACTCTGTTAAATTCCTATGTAAGTACTTTTACACTCTTCTCTAAGAATATGGGGATCTTAAAGCACTTCAGCTTCATTTACCACCTTCTCACTTATTTATAATCTTGTGTACTTTTGTATGTATTAAAAAACCCCTAAGCCAAACTGGCTTGACTAAGTGGTTGAGCATCAGTTGTTCAAACAGGAGGTCATAGTTCGATTCCTGGTCAGGGCTGCAGGTTCAACCCCAGTAGGGGGTGTGCAGGAGGCAGTTATTGATTGATTCTCTCTCATCATTGATGTTGCTCTCTCTCTCATCCTCTCTCTGAAATCAATAAAAATGTACTTAAAAAATAAATAACCCCTAAGATATAATTATTTTGCTTATGGGACAGTGCTGATGATTTGCCCGGTGCATTAATTTTTCACCTGAAATTTGTGCAGTCACAGGGTGTACAGAACATTTGAAGAGGCACCTGAGCACACATGGTTCAAAGAGAAACAGTGCCCAGATCCCATCCTTCCATATGGTCTGCTTTGTATAGTGATTTTCCTGAGACTCACTCCTGAGGCATGGTGCAGGGATGGATGTCATTTCCCAGGTCTCCTATGAAAGTCACCCCACTTAAATTCCACAGGATAAAGGAGTACCTCCACCACAGTTAGAACCTAAGGCTTTATTGGCCAGAAGAATAAATACTTCAGGACCCCATGTAAAGGGATACTAGCAATGTTCTGGGCATTGTGCTCAGGAGCAGTGTAGTGTCTGGGCCCAGAGGAAATGTACCATCTGTTGAATTTGCTCCTCAATCCACAGGTCCTGACTCCCCAGGAGCAATCGAATCATGTGAAACAGGAAGAAGCTGCAGGGTTGAGTATTAGCATTTTCATGACACCTGACTGAAGACAGATTTATCTGAAGAGAAATTTAGAACAGACCCAGATACACCAAGACAGAGCTCTGCCATTGCCAGCTCTTTTCAGGGAACAGAAGAAAATGCTACAGGCCCAGGTGATTGGGTTTGTTTTATCCTTTCTTTATTAATGGATTTCTAGAGGCCTATAAAAAAACACCTCTGTTAATCTGAAAGGTAAACATATATACGTATATTTTTTGTCTCTCAAATATACAAATGTGGTGTTTCTAGGTTAACAAGAACATTTTCTTCATGTTATAGAAACTTCTAATTGGATGAATGTATGGATGACTGATTGCACAATTACAAAATACAGGATGGGGCAAAATTAGGTTTACAGTTGTGAGTATGCAAAATGCAGAATTTATTCCTGTATTATTTATTAATTTTGTATTATTTTTAATATGAACATCTGTAAACCTACGTTTTCCCCATCATGCATTTTACTAGGCATGTGATTATTTAACTGTATATTAAATTAAAACCTCACTTGCTATATAGATGCAGCTTATAGAGTGAAAATGAGCAGAAAGACTAACATTTCTTCCATGTCATCTAAAGGACATCACAGCATTAAACAGTGTGGTGTTGTTACAGGATCCCCTGACATTTCACGATGTGGCTGTGGACTTCACCTGGGGGGAGTGGCAGCTCCTGGACTCCAATCAGAAGAACCTGTACAGGGACGTGATGTTGGAGAACTACAGCAACCTGGTGTCAGTGGGTGAGGACAATTCCATATGTCACTCAGTGGGTGCCCTATTAGTGACTTTTCCTTTCTTCACTGCTTAACTCTTCAAAATAACTATAGTTCTCTGAAGTGGTAGAATCTCAGATCCTTGTCTTGCCCCAGAAAAGAGAGTATAATATCCCCTCACCTAATAGAAAAATCCTTGTGTTACAGATGTGAAACATTTCCCTGAAAGGTACCATTCTCCCTTCTTGACAGACCCCAGGCCAATTCAATATATCTAAGTTTTCTTGATTTTTTACGAACAGGGTATCAAGCCAGCAAACCAGAGGCACTCTCCAGATTGGAACGAGGGGAAGAACCATGGACAATACAGGATGAACTTCACAGTCTAGTCTCTCCAGGTGAGTGGATGACAGCCAGCAAGGTGGGTGGCTGGGAGTCATATTCTAGTCAAGGAAGACGTCAGAGGTATGACTGTGAATGAGGAAATTCTCCATCTCTCCACGTATGAGAACCCTTTCTCTTTGTAGAAGTTTAGAGAAAAACATCCCCCTTTTTCTCTTCTGAGCTCTGTCCCTGCCCTACTTTATGTATATCTTGTGTTTCTCCGTGTTTTCTTCATCCTAGAATTCTCAGATCTTCCTCTTTGTCCACATCCACTATATCTCTGCTTGTTACCACCTCTTTTGCTATGAAATTTCACTTTCCAGGCTTCTCTGGAAAGACAGAACTTTGAATTCGTCACCTTTTTCAGTTTGTCTCTCTGTTGACTAGCTCCATCCTGAGACTATGTAGGACCCCTGTGCTGTCACCTCATTAGCATAAACTCGGCTGTTTTTAATGTAGAACAAAAGACACTTCTATCCCTTAGGCAATTACAAGAGTTTGACAAGCTATTGTTAAGAACTGTGCACAAAGACAAAATTTATTTCTTATTTTATAACACATAGGATTGTAACTTAACTAGTTACTTCACATGAAGGCTTTTTTAAAAACCGTTTTATTTCAAACTAGGATTATGAGAGATTACAGAATTAATCGCTGTTCTTTCTGTCCTAGAACTCAGGAAAGTTGATCATCCTCTGCAGCATCACCTGCAAAGTCAAAGCACTCAGAAGAATGTAGACCAATGCTGTGAACATAATATGTTTGCAGATATTGTTATTCAGAGCAAAAGGAAATACCTACTAAAGCAAAATCACAATATGTTTCAGATATGTGACAAACGTTTAGAATCAAATTTAAGTTTTGAAAACCAAAACAGAAGCTATAACTTGAACTCTGTTGAGTTGAATGGAGATGGGACATCCATTCTGTATGCTAGCAATGGACAATTTTACAGTGAAATCACATTGCCTGTCAGTGCCAAATCCATTAATAATAAGTCCCAGATCATCATAGAGAAAGCCCACTTATGCATTACATGTGGGAAAGCCTTCATGAAGATATCTCAGCTCACTGATCATCAGAGAGTTCACACCAGAGAGAAAATTTATGGGTGCAGTCTGTGTGGGAAAGCCTTCAACAGAAAATCCAGGCTCACTGAACATCACAGAATTCATACAGGCCTGAAACAGTATGAATGCACTGAATGTGACAAAACCTTCCTCAAGAAATCACAGTTCAATATACATCAGAGAACTCACATGGGAGAGAAACCTTATACATGTAGTGAATGTGGGAAAGCATTCATCAAAAAGTTTTGGCTCATTTGTCATCAGCGGACTCATACAGGTGAGAAACCATATGAGTGCAGTCTATGTGGGAAGAACTTCTGTACAAAGTCTAATCTCAATAAACATCAAAAAACTCATACAGGAGAGAAACCTTATATATGCAGTGAGTGTGGAAAAGCCTTCATTGAGAAGAATCATCTTATTGCACATCATCGAACTCATACAGGAGAGAAACCCCACGGATGCGGTCTGTGTGGAAAGACCTTCCATACAAAATCTAATCTCAATAAACATAAAAAAATTCATACAGGAGAGAAACCTTATATATGCAGTGAATGTGGAAAAGGCTTTATCGAGAAGAGGCGTCTCATTGCACATCATCGAACTCACACAGGAGAGAAACCCCATGGATGCGGTCTGTGTGGGCAGACCTTCTCTACAAAGTTCAGTCTCACTATACATCAGACAACTCATACAGGAGAGAAACCTTATATATGCAGTGAGTGTGGAAAAGGCTTTATCAAGAAGAGTCATCTGATTGCACATTACCGAACTCATACAGGAGAGAAACCTTATACATGCAGTGAATGTGGGAAAGGCTTCTCAACGAAGGATTGCCTTATAGGACATCAGCGAACTCATACTGGACACAAGCCCTATGTATGTAATGTGTGTGGAAAAGGCTTCACCATGAAGCGTGATCTCACTGTACATCAGCGAAGTCATACTTCAGATAAACCATATATGTGCAGTGAATGTGGAAAAGGCTTCATTGTGAAGCGTGGTCTGATTATACATCAGCGAATACACACAGGAGAGAAACCCTATGTATGCAGTGAATGTGGAAAAGGCTTCCCAGTGAAAATGCAGCTGATTGTGCATCAACGGACTCATACAGGAGAGAAACCTTTTTTATGCAGTGAATGTGGGAAAGGCTTCTCAACGAAGCATTGCCTTATTGGACATCTGCGAACTCATACTGGAGAGAAGCCGTATGTATGTAATGTGTGTGGAAAAGGCTTCACCGTGAAGCGTGCTCTCACTGTACATCAGCAAAGTCATACTTCAGAAAAACCATATATGTGCAGTGAATGTGGAAAAGGCTTCATTGTGAAGAGTCGTCTGATTGTACATCAGCGAATACACACAGGAGAGAAACCCTATGTATGCAGCGAATGTGGAAAAGGCTTCCCACAGAAAAGGCAACTGATTGTACATCAGTGGACTCATACAGGACAGAAACCTTATATATGTAGTGAATGTGGGAAAGATTTCACAGCGAAGCGTAATCTCATCAGACATCACCTAAAACATACAGGTGAGAAGCCCTGTGAGTGTAGTGTATGTCAAAAAGGCTTCACCATGAAGACTGGTCTCACTTTACATCAGCAAAGTCATACTTAAGAGGAACTGTCTCTGTGCTATGAATGTGGGAAAGGCTTTAACCACAAAGAGTCATGTCAGTGTACATTGACGCACTCATAAGAAATAGAAAGTTTATATATGCAAGGAATATGGCAAAGGCTTAATTGGGAAAAGTATACTCATTGCACATCTGTGAATTCATATGGAGAGAAACTCTATATGCAGTGAATGTGGAAAGAGCTTCATTATGAAGAGTACTGTAGGTATCCATCAGCAAACTCATACTGCAGAGAAGCCATACAAATGCAATAGGTGTGAAGGCTTCAGGAAGAAGACATGCCTTGTGCAACATCAGAGATTTCACTCAGGAAAGACTTCCTTTGCATTTACTGAATGTGGAAAATTCTCATTGAGCAAAAATGATCCATTATCCATCAGAGCATTCACAAGGGAGAGAAATCCTGTGAATCTAATGAATGTGGGAAACCTTTCGCTACAACCTCAGGACTCAATGTTCATCAAACAAAACATATAGGAGGGAGGCCATATGGGTGCAGCGATTGTGGGAAAGCTTTTGCCCACTTGTCAATTTTTATTAAATATAAGAGAGCTCACAGGTAGTTACTTTGGGGAGAGCTTCTTGCCAGTTCTAGGCCCTCAAGATAATAGTATGCAATGAAGAATAACTTAATGCAAAAAGAGAAAGAAAAAATAAGTTAATGCAAGGAACGTGGTACTGTCTTTGTTGGTCAATTATCTCATATTTTATATTGGAAAAAATTGTAAAACTCAGAGATAGTCAGCCTTGATGAAAATATTTTAGGACATTATATGTCTTAAAAATTTATACAGACTAGGAAATTCTTTAATGAGAAGTAGACCCTATCATATGTGATTAATATTAGATATCATGAGTGAATGAATGAATGAATATTTCTAATTTTGGGAAAGCGTCTGCCCCAAAGTAATACCTCAGTAGATGTCAGTTCACACGAAAGAGATACTTTTCTCTGGCAGTGAATATAGCATGGTTTGCAGTAATTTATGTTGCCTCATCGTTTGCCAGGAAATCCATGTAGATTTCAAATAACTTATGAAAACATCCAATTTGGTGGTCTTTAGCAAAACTTCAGATAACTTAGTGAAGGAGAAAAGCCTTGAATGAAAACACATTCTGTCACAAGTCTAAACAAGTAGTTTACCTCACAAGAAATTGTGGACAGGATACCTTCAGCTATAATTTTAGTTGCCTTGCCATTGACTTTATAAGTTTTAAACAGTTGCAGGTACTGTCATCATGGATTAAAGTTTAATATATACAACACAGGAGTGGTCTTATGCCTGTTTCATTATGTAACCAATTTTTGCATTTTAGTTCCAAGTTTGTGTTATTTCAGAATACTTGAAGTACTTGAAAATGAAAGTGAATATATTCATTTCATAAGGATAACAACATATCTTAATGTGTTTAACCATGTTTATAAGTAGCATCAGTGGTATATAAAATTAATATAAATATAATGGTTTTTTAAAAATAACTTTTACTTTTGAAATAAGTTTAGAATCATAAAAACTGAAATTTTGTACAGATTTCCCAAATGCCTTTCAGGTGGCTATTCCCAAAGGTAAAACCTTACATAGTCACAGTTCATTATCAAGTAGAGGAACGTGAAATTGTTACAGTGCTGTTATCTACAGGATTTATTTGTATCTTCAGTTTTAACATGATCTCAGTTTTGTTTGGTTTTTATATAGTTTGAAGAAACTTTATCACCTACATAGGTTATTGTAACCAACACCACAGTAGATATTCAGAATTTTTTGTTATCACAAACTCCCTTCATAGTCCCATCCTTTTCCCAACCCTAACTTTTGGCATCACAATTCTCTTTGTATCTATAATTTTGTCATTTATACAATATCAGAAAAATGGAGACATTTAGCATGAGCCATTTTGAAGTTGGCTATTTGACCTTGTGAGATATAAAAAATACGTATGTGCATCCTGGTCTCTGTCCACAGTACCTGGAACAGAACTCCTGAAATCCTTGTAAATTTGTAAGTGACAACAGCACTAGGAGCTTCTTTTGTTTCACTGTGGCTACTCTGGTTGGAAACTATCCCCCCCACACACATCCAGAGAAGGGTGAGAGTCTGGAAATGGAATTAATAATCAATCATGCCTATTTTAGGAACCCTCCATGAAAATCCCAATAGGAGGAGGTTTGGAGAGCTTCCAGGTGTTTGAAGACATCCAAGTATGAGGAGGGCTATGCACCCTAACTTCATAGGGACAGAAACTCCTGTGCATAAGACCCTCCCAGACCTCGCACTATGTATCTCTTCACCTGGTTGTTTATCTGTAACCTTTAAGATACTCTTTAATAAAGTTGTAAACATAAGTACATGGTTCCCTGAGTTCTGTGTCACCAGCCACTCCAGGAAATTAATTGAACAGGAAGAGGGTTTGTGGGAACCTTCCATTGAAGCCAAGACAGAAGTTGTAGGTAACCTGGAGCTCTATTACATATGATTGGCATGTGAAGTGGGGAGGGAGTAGTTCGTAATACTGAGCCCTTAACCTGTGGGGTCTGACACTGTTGTGTCAGAATTGAGCTAATATGGTGGACACGCAGTTGGTGTGGAAAATTCCTGGCATGGGGAACTCCCCCTCTTCAATACACACTCTTGGTGACCAGGAGTGTTGTGAGTGGGGCAGTAGTGAGAAACACAGGAAGAAGATTGAACTGTAGGTTTTTCCAGAACAGACCGCAAGTAAATTCAACCTAAGAGCCAGCCCCAGACTCTGGGGTTTCCCCTGCCATGTGGTCATCAGACCTCATGGAAACTGGCTGCACCCGAGGTGTTCCTGTCTAACAACTCAAGGATACGATCAACTTTGTGTTATGTTCAAACTAATTAATATCATGCATCCCATGCCTAGTTGGCCTTAGATAGGTTCCAGTCTGTAAAAAGGTAAGTGGTAGCTCTGCACTTGTGATCATCTCTTGCAAAGAGAGGAAGGCACTGGAGTGGTCATAAGACGTCTCTATTTCCTGTCACCCGGCAGTGTCATAGCAACCATTATGGCCACTCCCATTAGAAACTTTGGATTTTGCTTTATGTGGTCATAGAACCAGAGCAAGGTCAGAACTTGGGCTTCCATAAATGACCCAGAGCCCTGGCCATACAATTCTGGCCCTTTGGTGTCCCTAGCAACAGCCAAAGAAGTACTTGGGGAGACAGGACCAAATTGGAAGTAGTTTGGTATTCAGGTTCAGCCTTTGGCAGCTACCAGCAGAGTCTTCAGAGGCTCAAGGTCCGGTGAGCCTGATTCCATGTGGATCCCAAGTGAGGGGCCTGTAAGGTCGGTGAAGCAGGAATGCATGTGAATGTTGGTGTTTGGGGGTTTTATTTGAATACAGTCGCTGAAGAATCAGGGCATCAGTGTGGGGGTTTTGGTTAAGTCTCAGTCTGAAGAGATTAACAACTGAAGGTCTGATGTTCAGGACTTAATATCTCTTTTGTCAAATTTGTATGCTTGGTGATAAAAAACTGGAAGGTGTGTATCAATGAACCCTGCCTGTCTTCTAGGTTAGCAATTTAATCTAAATCTAAATCCAGGAGGAGTGTCGACAAGAGTTTCTGTGGTAAATTTCAGATTGAATTTGAGGTCCCTGTTTGGGGAGTGCAAGGTTTCTCTGAGTTTAAGAACAAATGAGTCTGGAAGTTTTGAGACTCATAGCCCCACGCTAGTGAGTGTTTTGAAGCTCAGATTTTGGATGCTGGAAACATTCATTCAAGTCCCTTCTCAAGGTACCAATTAAAAATTTGACTCCTAGAGTGTTTGACATCTTGCTTCTTGACATATATCATTAGTTTGGCTCAAATAAATTACTATAAAAAAAATTGTCTTGATTGGCTGGGCGTGGCTCACCGGTTGAGCATCGACCTAGGATCCAGGAGACTGGGGTTCGATTCCGGGTCAGGGCACATGCCCGGGTTGCAGGCTAGGCAGCCAATCAATGACTCTCTCATCATTGATGTCTCTCTCTCTCTCTCTGCACTCAATAAAGATATTTAAAAAATTAAATTAAAAATAAATAAAAAGTAAATAAATAAGTCACCATATATATCTTGGTATACAATTCACTTGATGTGGGCTGGTCTTAGTCCGTTTAAGAGCTCTACAGTAAATTATAGTGAGGCTGCAGAGAAAGTGAATCTCACGTTGACGGTGGCAGTGGAAAATGGTGCTTGAACCTGGCAGGTAGTTTGGCAATTTCTCAAACACAGGCACTTCTTTCCCTCCAGTGCTCCGAAATACACGACCGGTTCAGTCGGGCCCATATTTACCGTTCACAATACTTCCTACTTGTCTCGCTGAGCTTGAATCTCCGAAATATACTCACTTCCACAAGAGTCAAACTGCTGGGGAACCAGATAGATTCAGGAGCTTCCCACCTTCCCGCCATCGCGGCTACTGGTTCCAACGCGGGGGATTCCCTCTGTACGGAAGTCAGGTTGCCCAACATGGCGGCCCCCAGGCTGCGCCGTAAGGGGAGGCGGACATATTGCCTCGGAGGGGAACGCGGAAGTCGCTCGCTCGCTCGCTTTTGTGCTTTTTGTCCTTTTCTTTTCTTTTTTTTTTTTTTTTGGTCCTCCTGTGTCTTTAAAGGCCTCAGATCCCATTCGGCCACCATAGGAGACGAAATCTCTGGGCGCCGGTTCCAGAAGCTGGTCCGGTTCGCGGAAGTGTAGCGTTTGGACCCCCGGTGGGCTGGGGAAACAGGTGAGTGCGCTCGTGTCCTGGAAGATTTTGGATAAATTTGGGCTCGCGGGAGGTTTGTCTCGCAGGGTCCGGGACGTCACGGGTGGAAGGGGCGTGTTCTGACCCGTGAACTGTCGGCGGGGAGGGGAGGCAGGGTCGCCAAGGTGTTGGGAGGAAGCAGGCGAGACGCCCCTGTCTGGGGTCGGGGTACCTCGGGGTCCTCGGGCGATTAAGGGCCTGTAGAGACCAACGACGGCGTCCCGCCCGTCGTGGCCTTTGCGGGTCCCTCTAAGGGACGGAGGTGGCGTCTCGGGTGCTCGCGGGTCAGGTTCAGGGTCGGGCCCTAACGTGGGCTCGGGGGTGTCGGGCCCCGAGAATGGCCTCCAGGCGAGGGCGTCGGGCCCAGGTCCGGGATAAGGAAGGCGCGTGGTCAGCCCGGGGGCCCCGAGACTCCCGAGGCCGAAGCTCCGGCCGCCCGGGCCCGGGCCTGTGGCTGCGGGAGGAGCGGGGTCCGTGGCTTTCCGCGGCGCCGGCGCCCCGCGGGTTTCCTGCTGTCGGTGAGCTCGTGCGGGCTGCGGTCCGGCCGGTGGCGGACGACGCTGCTGTGAGGTCCCCGTCGTGTCCTCCGGCTCCGACGCGCCGGCCTGGGGGCGTGTGGGGCGCAGATGGGAACCTCAGGGGAGGCGGGCCCGGGGCCAGCGGCCAGGAGCCCCTGCTCCAGCCTTTGTCCGGGGCCCGGCTCGCTGCAGGGGACAAAGGTCCACCCGCGCCCCTCAGTCACTCCTGTCCGGCTGCAGAGGCAGGACTGCGTCCTGGGAGGGAGACCCGTGGCCCTCGGGGCGGAAACACACGTCCGTCCCTTGCAGAGTGTGTGCCCGGCGTCTCCTCTCGCCACCGAATACGCAGCAGCGTGCAGCGGGTAACTGCGGCTCCTTTGCCTGCCGCGCACTCACACTTTCCTCTTGGCCAACAGAGGCTCCGTCTTGTTTAACACCCACCCGTCTGGGAGGGGCCCGTCCAGTGTATTAATCAGCCCTGGTCGGTCCTGGTCGCCGCGCCGGTTCCAGTTCCCATGGCTGGGGACTGAATTGCACGGAGGAGCTTAGGTAGTGGCGCATGGACTTCTACCAGCTGCATAAGTGCAAGTCGGCCTAGTGGCTTCTGGGGAACATTTTCTCCTTTAAATAGTAAATTTTTGAATCTCTTTTACCCTGTTGATGAAATATTGTCTGAATATAACCTTAAGTTCCTGTCCTGCTTTCTCATGTTTATAATTTATTGTTATCTCAATGCATTGGCTCAACTGTCCAATACAAAATTGGGAAAGTGGGGTTGTAGTGGACATCTGTGTCCTGTTGTCACCTGCTGCAGTGTCTGGAGTTAACAGTTTGAGAAATTTTCCTGTATTTTAGTCTTATTGATGTGCCTCTCCCGTTGAGAATGAGAGTTATCCTCCAAAATAATTTTTTGTTGTGTTTTGAGGTGGGGTTCAGTCTTCTCCCCCATCTTCCCCTTCCAGGATGGGTATCTGAGTGTCCCAGAGCCATTTTTCAAAAAGACATCCTTACCCTCTTCTCTGCAGAGCTTCCTGTGTCATGTCTCTATCCATGAGTCTGTTCATAGACATTTTATTTTGTTCCTTTGGCCAATTTGTCTATTGTACTGTCATAATTAAAGTAACTTTAAGCCCTCATAACTGATAGAGCAAGTCTTTCAACTTTTTTTTAAAGGTGGATAGAGCTGTCAGTTAAGGATTTTGATTGGGATTCCATTGGGTCTATATGTACATTTGGGAGACATGACATCTTTAAAATGCTTGTTTTTCTGAGCCATCTTCACAGGCCACCTTTCCATTTATTTAATGAAGTCTGTTCAACTTTCAACATTTCATGCTACTTTTGAAATACCTTTGAAGTTCTTCCAAATGATAGTTAATAAATTTTATTTTGTTTGTTGATGGCCTGTTTGTCTGTCAGTTACTGGGGGAGGTATGTTGAGATCTTGTACTATTAGCCTGGATTTGTTTATTTCTTCTTGGGTTTTGGTCCATTTTTACTGTACACATGTCAAGGCTACATTGTTAGGTGCACTGAAATTGCAAACTTTTATAAGACGTTGAATTGAACCTCTTACCAGTGAGTGTTGTTTCTCTTTCTCTATAGTAATTTTGGGGTGTTCTGGTATATTTTGTCTGACAATATAGTCATACCAGATTATTTGTGGTGACTATTTTCTTGATATATCTTTTCCTAACCTTTTATTTCAAGCTTTCTATATCATTATGTTTCAGACATGTCACCTTTAACAACATGTTATTTGGTTCAAAATTTTAATTATGATAATTTTCAAGTGTTTGTATTTATTGTAATTAACTGGAATTTTTGTTATGTTTATACGTAATATAATTTTTAGTGTGTTTTGTTTTATTTACTTTTTAAGTATATTTAAAATTTTTTTTAATTGATTTGAGGGAATGATACATTGATTCTTTGTTCCACATATGCATTCACTTGTTGATTCTTGTATGTGCTCTGACCTGGGATCAAACCCACAACCTTCGCATATCTGGACCACACTCTAACCAACTGAGTTATGGAGCCAGGACAGTATGTTTTCTTTTGGAACAGTCATCTAAGTGTGTTGTACTTGTTCCCATCTTTTCCTTTTCAATATATTATTTCTCTCTTTCTCCCCCACCCCCTTGTTTTGGAAGATTTTTTTACATATGTTTTTATTGATTTCAAAGAGAGAGGAAGGGGGAGAGAGAGAGAGAGAGAGAGAGAGAAAAACACATTGATGTGAAAGAAAAATATCAGTTGGTTGACTCCTGTATGCACCCGACCTGGAATTGAACCCATAACCTGGGCATGTGCCCTGACTGGGAATATCGAAACGGTGACCTTTGGGTACATGGGACTATGTTCAACCATCTGAGACACACCAGCCAGGGCTCAGGTGATATCTTAAAATTGTATTTCCCCCGTCCATTAGCATGGATATTTTGTACTTTAAGACAACTGTTAGTTTTCATCCTGACACTAGATATTCCGTACAGCCTGGAACTCTGTTAAATTCTTGTGTTAAATAGTATTTTAACACTCTTTTCCGACAATAAAGGGGTCTTAAAGCACTTCAGCTTCATGTCTCACCTTACAATTTATTTATACTCCTGTGTGCTTTTCTTTTGTATATATTAAAAACCCCTTAAGATTTAATCATTTTTGCTTAGGAGAGAGTGCTGATGATTTGCCCAGTGCATTCGTTTTCCACCTGAAATTTGTGCAGTCACAGGGTGTACAGAACATTTGAAGAGGCACCTGAAGACACATGGTTCAAAGAGAAACAGTGCCCAGATCCTCTCCTTCCATATGGTCTGTTTTTACTCCTGAGGCTTGGTGGGGGATGGATGTCATTTCCCAGGTCTCCTATGAAAGTCACCCCACTTAAATTCCACAGGATAAAGGAGTACCTCCACCACAGTTAGAACCTAAGGCTTTATTGGCCAGAAGAATAAATACTTCAGGACCCCATGTAAAGGGATACTAGCAATGTTCTGGGCATTGTGCTCAGGAGCAGTGTAGTGTCTGGGCCCAGAGGAAATGTACCGTCTGTTGAATTTGCCCATCAATCCACAGGTCCTGACTCCCCAGGAGCAACTGAATCATGTGAAACAGTAGGAAGCTGCAGGATTGGGTATCAGCATTTTCATGACACACCTGACTAAAGACAGATTTCTGAACGGAAACTTAGAGCCGACCCAGACACACCAAGACAGAGCTCCCCCATTGCCAGCTCTTTCCAGGGAACAGAAGAAAATGCTCCAGGTTCGGGTGATTTGGGGTTTGTTGTATTGTTTCCTTTCTTCATTAGTGGATTTGTAGAGGCCTTTGCAAACCCATGTCTGTTAATCTGAAAAGTATACGTATATGTGTATATCTTTTATCTCTCAACAATATGAATGTGTTTCTAGTTAACAAGAATATACTTTTTCCCATTATAGAAACTAATAATTGCATTAATGTATGGATGACTGATTGCACAATTACAAAATACAGGATGGGGCAAAATTAGGTTTACAGTTGTGAGTATGCAAAATGCAGAATTTATTCCTGTATTGTTATTTATTAATTTTGTATTATTTTTCATATGAACATCTGTAAACCTACTTTTTCCCCACCATGCATTTTACTAGGCATGTGATTATTCAACTTTGTATTAAATTAAAGCCCCACTTGCTATATAGATGCAGCTTATAGAGTGAAAATGAGCAGGAAGACTAACATTTCTTCCATATCATCTAAAGGACATCACACCAGTAAACAGCGTGGTGTTGTTGCAGGAACCCCTGACATTTCACGATGTGGCTGTGGACTTCACCTGGGGGGAGTGGCAGCTCCTGGACCCTGATCAGAAGGACCTGTACAGGGACGTGATGTTGGAGAACTACAGCCACCTGGTGTCAGTGGGTGAGGACAGCTCCCCTGTGTCACTCAGCAGGTGCCCTGTTAGTGACTTTTCCTTTCTGAGCTGCTTATCTCTTCAGAATTACTACAGTTCTCTGAAATGGTAGAATCTCAGATCCTTTTTTTGTTTCTCTAAAATATAACATTCTCTCTTTTTGACAGACTCCAGCCCTATTCCATATGTCTAAGTCTTCTGTCGTCTTTCACAAGCAGGGTATCAAGCTGGGAAACCAGACGCGGTCTCCAAGTTGGAACGAGGCGAAGGACTGTGGACAAGACAGCATGGACTGCACTGTGTACTCTGTCCGGGTGAGTGGGTGAGAGCCAGCAAGGTGGGCGGCCAGAAAGTCATCTCATCAGAGAAGGCATCAGAGCTGTGACAGTGAATGTGGAAACTCACACCACTCCTTCATGTATGAGAACCCCTTTTCTTCATAGAAGTTTAGGGGAAAACATCCCCCTTTTTTCTCTTCTGAGCTCTAACCCTGGCTTATTTTATTTGTATCTTGTTGTTTTGCGTAGTTTTCTTCCTCTTGGACTCTCAGATCTTCCTTCTCTTTGTTCTCAGTCACAGTGTCCCAGCCTGTGTTACCACCTCTTTTGCTATGAAATTCCACTTTCCAGGCTTCTCTGGAAAGACAGAACTTTGAATTCATCACTTTTTTCTTACTACTGGGCCTCCCTGCTCTGTATGAAAATAGTGATTTCCCTCTGTAACATCCAACCCCACCTTGAATGCTGTGTCCCGGTGATAACCTGCTTTTCATGGTGCATTTATGTCATTTTTTTGCCCCTCTCCCTTCAAGGTTTTTAATACTCAATTCTAATCACTCTTAAAATTTTCCTCAATTCCCATGAATTAACCTCTTTCTGTTCTGTAAAATGGATTCGCAAATTGACTTCTCCCTCAGTATTGTCTAATGTACGCTTTCTTCCTGTGTATTTTACTCATGGTCAGGGCAGCTGTCCTCTGACTTCTTATTTTGTGTGTGAGAGCAGGAATCATCTTCCCTTTATTTTTTTTTAATTTAGTTTCTCTTTCCGCACTAGACATTTTAAATTCTACCCATCCTGGCATCACCTGGGATGTTCCCCAAATGCTGACCTCTCTTCTTAAAGGTCTCTATTCTTTCATTTGATGAATAAGAAAAGATCTCTACATCCTACATGATCAAGATTGTTAGCTGGTGTCTTGATTATAGAAGTTTTTGCCTAAATTGGAGATTCATGCTTTAGGACAGTTAGGTTTACTTTAGAATGAAGACGAATGTCAAGTTTTTGGACTATGATAACTCTCAGTAGTCTCTTATGCTCAACTGGAAATCAGATCCTGACGATCCACATCCTTATTCGCCATGTATTTGTTCTGTGCACCTGGGTCTGTGCTTTTACCTTTAATTCAACATGTTTTGAAACGCAGTCTCATTTTGTAGTCTTTTTTTTTGAAGAATTGATAGGATCCACACTATAGGCACATGGATGGGTTCACTAACCCTGCAGCTGATCAGATCTAGTTAAGAGTTTTTATAGAGCTTTAATCTCTAGGCCTTTTCTCCTTTCCCAGAGGTCAGTGGGTGGGATTGGAAGTCCAACCTTTTAATCAATTGGTCTTTCTAGTAACTAGCTCCATCCTGAGAGTATGTAGGAACCCTGTGCTGTCACCTCATTAGCATAAACTCAGCTGTTTTTACTATAGAACAAAAGATACTTCTGTCACTTAGGAAATTACAAGGGTTTTACAACCTCAATGTCAGTAACTGAGGACGAATACCATATATATTTCTTATTTTACATGCATAGGATTGTCACTAAATAGTCACTTCATGTGAAGGCTTTCTTACTGTTCTCTTCTGTCCTAGAACTTGGGAAAGTTGATCACCCGGTGCAGCATCACCTGCAACGTCGAAGCATGCAGAAGAATGTGGACCAATGCTGTGAACATGATATGTTTGCACATATTGTTAAAAAGGGCGAAGGCCAATACCTACTAAAGCAAAATCATGGTATGTTTGAATTACATGAAAAACTTTTAGAATCAAATTTAAGTTTTGAAAACCAAAACAGAAACAATATCTTAAAAAACTCAGATGAGCTGAATACAGATGGGACCTCTATTTTGCATGCTAACCAAGAACAATTTTACACTGAAATCACATTGCCTGTCAGTACCAAACCCATTAATAATAATTCCCAGATCAACATAGAGAAAGCCCACGTATACATTGAATGTGGGAAAGCCTTCGTGAAGATGTCTCAGCTCACTGATCATCAGAGAGTTCACACTAGAGAGAAACCTTATAGGTGCCATCTCTGTGGGAAAGCCTTCCCCCAAAAATCCAAGCTCACTGAAAATCAGAGAATTCATACAGAACTAAAACCGTACAAATGTACTGAATGTGACAAAACCTTCCTCAAGACATCACAGTTCAATATACCTCAGAAAACTCACATGAGAGAGAAACCTTACACATGTAGTGAATGTGAGAAAGCGTTCACCAAAAAGTCTCGGCTCATTTATCATCAGCGAACTCATACAGGAGAGAAACCCCATGGATGCACTTTATGTGGGAAGACCTTCTCTACAAAGTTCAGTCTCACTATACATCAGAAAACTCATACAGGAGAGAAGCCTTATATATGCAGTGAGTGTGGGAAAGGCTTCATTGAGAAGAGCCGCCTTATTGCACATCAGCGTACTCATACAGGAGAGAAACCCCATGGATGCAGTTTATGTGGGAAGACCTTCTCTACAAAGTTTAATCTCACTACACATCAGAGAACTCATACAGGAGAAAAACCTTTTTTATGCAGTGAATGTGGGAAGGGCTTCTCAATGAAGCACTGCCTTATTGGACATCAGCGAACTCATACTGGAGAGAAGCCCTATGTATGTAATGTGTGTGGAAAAGGCTTCACCATGAAACGTGATCTCACTGTACATCAGCGAAGTCATACTTCAGAAAAACCATATATGTGCAGTGAATGTGGAAAAGGCTTCATTGTGAAGAGCCGTCTGATTGTACATCAGCGAATGCACACAGGAGAGAAACCCTATGTATGCAGTGAATGTGGAAAAGGCTTCCCAGTGAAAATGCAGCTGATTGTGCATCAACGGACCCATACAGGAGAGAAACCTTATATATGTAGTGTATGCTGGAAGGGTTTCACAGCGAAGTGTAATCTCATTAGACATCAGCTGAAACATACAGGAGAGAAGCCCTATGTATGTAATGTGTGTGGAAAAGGCTTCACCATGAAGACTGAGCTTACTTTACATCATCAAACTCATAGTTAATAGAAACTGTGTATGTGCAATAAATTTGGGAAAGGCTTCATTATGAAGAGTACTATAGGTATACATCAGCAGTCTCAAACTGCAGAGAACGCCTACACATGCAATGAATGTGATGAAGGCTTAAGGAAGAAGACGTGCCGCATACAACATCAGAGATTTCACTCAGGAAACACTTCCTTTCCATGTATTGAATGGGACATACTCCTTCAGCAAAAATTATCTCTACCCATGGGAGAGAAACCTTATGAATGTAATGAATGTGGGAAAGCCTTCACTGCAAAGTCAAAACTCAGTGTTCAACAAAGAAAACATACAGGAAGGAGGCTATATGGGTGCAGCAATTGTGGGAAAGCTTTTGCCCACTTGTCAGTTGTTGTGAAACATAAGAGGTTTCACAGATAGTTTCTTTGGGGAAAGCCTGGTGCCTTTTGTAGGCCCTCAAGATAATAGTATGAAATGGAGAATAACTTAAAGCAAAAAGAGAGAAAAAAAGAATAAATTAATGCAAAGAATGTGGTATTGTATTGATCAATTACCTCATATTTTATATTGAAAAAGTTTACAAAACATCTCAGATACAATCAGCCTTGGTGAAAATATTTTAGGACATTATATGCCTAAAAAGTGTATTCTGAGGTAAATCCTATGAATGTGACAGATGAGGAAATTTTTTAGTGGTAAGTAGACCCTATTATATATGATCATCAAAGATTATGAATGGATAAATAGTTCTAATTGTGGGAAAGCATCTGTCCAAAAATAAGACCTCAATAGATGTCAGTTCACACTAGAGAAATACTTTTCCCTGGCAGGAATATGGCACGGTTTGCAGTAATTTATGTTGCCTTATTATTTGCCAGAAGTTCATGCAGAAATAACTCGTGAACACATTCAATTTGGTGCTCTTTTGCAAAACCTTAGAGAACTTAATGAAGGAAAAAAGCTTGAATGAAAAACCATTCTGTCACAAGTCTGAACAGATAATACACCTCCCAAGCAATTGTGGACAGGATACCTTCAACCATATTTCTACTTACCTTGCCTTTGATTTTATATGTTTTAAACACTGGCAATTACTCTCATCCTGAATTAAATTTTAATATATACAACACAGGAATGGTCTATGCCTGTTTCATTATGTAATTGACTTTTGCAGTTCTTTCGTTCCAAGCTTGTGTTATTTCAGAGTACTTGAAGTACTTGAAAATGAAACAATATATTCATTTATAAGGATAACATATTTTAATGTGTTTTACCAAGTTTATAACTAGCTTCAAGTGGTTTATAAGAGTAATATAAATACGTTTTTTCTAACTTTGACTTTTGAAATAAGTTTAGCATCACAAAAACTGAAATTTTCTAGAGATTTTCTAAATGCCCGTCATGTATCTACTTCCAAAGGTAAAACCTTACATAGTCACAGTTCAGTATCAAATAGAGGAAAGTGAAATTGTTACAGTGCCATCAACTACAGGATTTATTTGTATTTCCAGTAGTTTTTGTTTGTTTTGTTATGTATACTTGAAGGAAACTATCACATATGTAGTTTCTTTTAACCACAGTAGAAATTCAGAATTATTATTTTTTTTTGTCACAAACTCCCTCAGGCTACCTTTTCAGTCACATCCTTTCCCCTACCCTAGTGTTTGGCGTCACAGCTCTCTTTGTACCTCTAATTTTGTCATTTATGTAATATTAGAAAAATTGAGTTATTTATCACGTATCCTTTGAGATTGGCTATTTGACCTTGTGAGATATAAGAAAAACATTCAGCTCCACCCCACACATTTAGAGAGTGGAGAGGGCCTGGCTCCTGGCACAGAGCGCCTGACACCCTTGTAAATTTCTAAGTGACAACAGCACTAAAAGCCTTTTTTGTTCTGAGAGGACTCTGGTCTGAATTTTCAGCTCCACCCCACATCTTTACAGAGGGGGGAGGGCCTGGAAATAGTTTAAGATCAATCATGCCTACTCGAGGAAGGGTCCATAAACCTCCCCATAGGAGGGTACTCAGAGAGCTTCCAGGTGGAGAATACATCCAACTACGGGGAGGGTGATGTACCCCAACTTCATGGAGACAGAAGCTCCTGTGCTTGGGACCCTCCCAGACCTCATGCATTGTATCCCTTCATCTGTTCATTGTAACATTTTTTTGGTGGGTTATTTTGGTGTGTGTGTGTGTTTTAAGAATTTTTATGAGTTTATTTGAGCCAAACTGTGGACAGTTGCCTGGAAGCCTGAACTTCAATGGATTGAGATAATGCTCCGGAGAATGGCAGTTTTGCACCTTGCTTTATAGATTTCAATCAAAAGAGGGGACATAATTAGGTCACATGAAATCTGTTAGTGACCGATTAGGGAGGTGGGAGAAAAAGCGGGGAAACCTCTGGGATTAGATAAAAAGTAAAATGATAGACACATACTTCTTTTACATAGGTGAGTACAGGATAGTTAATAGTCAACAGTTAACAATATATCAATAACAATGAGAAGATTCCTGGTCTCTGCCCTGGTGTATTGAGGCCCCGGAAAAGGGAGAAACTAGGGAAATTACTTTGTTTTACAAAGGCATGTGATATTCAGCTACATTATCTCAGATGCAAAAGAAAACCGGCTTAGTTAGGGTGAAAATTAACCTTTGTGAAGGAAAAATACTGCCTTAGGGCATGACTACCCACCATAGACTGCTTTTAGTTACAAAGTTTTAATTTCAGACCATCCTTTGTGGTTATCTTTGGTCTCGGAGTTTCCAGGCCACCACACACGCCTGCCTGGAGCTTTTCAGGTTTAGTATGTGGCCCCTTTTTGTCCACACAGTCCCCTTTTGGTCATAAATCAATCCAAAGGGTACATTGATGACCAATCTTTTGGTCAGATAATAAGGTCCCATGGTGCTAGGAAGGCTCATTACTAAGAAGTCTCAGGTTCAGCATTTGTCTTGCCGAACAGGGTGGACCACTGGGGATGGGGCAAGACCATAACCTTAGATGGCATTCAAGGTCAAATTATTATAAATAGTAAGAAAGGCAGGTAAATGGGAGGCAGTCAGGTTCTATATTTGTCCTTATAAAAAATATTCTGGAGTATTTCTAATTTTTGACTAATGACCAGAGTCTTCTTATTGCTTAAGTTTTGTTTTTCTGCATCTAGTATAACATTTACATACCAGGAACAAAAGCAACAATATTAAACCAGCAACACCAATTAGGAACAGAAAATGTCTCATACTAGACAAGGAAGGGTCTGAGGGGAACCAGTGTGCCAGCCAACTGAAAAACTCTACATGTATTATCATAATTTTTTATTAAGCTATTTATATGTTTTCCTCTTTCATCCACAGTCACTTGTACCTTATGTTTGGACAGATGGATTAAGACTCTACTATTTTATTATCCAGACAGCTGTAACCTTTATGATGAAGATTTACTCAGATTTGTATTTGCTATCATTGTATCTTTGGTAAAATGTCTGATCACATGTTCGGCCTAAGCTGCTATGATTCCTGGCAATTTTTTTAATCAAAAGGACAGGGAAACAACAAAGATGTATCTTGGAATTTCACTCACTTTGTGCCTTTTTTTTGCTTTATGCAATAAATGTTCTTTATATTGGGATAGTTGTAATATTTTTCAAAATTTTCTTGCTCTGCACAATGTAATGAACACTTAATTTTAACCCGCAATGTTAACATTCTCCATCAGTTTGAGAAGTGCCATCGTTTAATAGTACAGTAATCCCTTGCTTTGTCGTGCTCTCCCATTTTCCTGGCCCCCTATAATGGTGGTTCTTAGGTTGGAGCAGGACTCTCAAGGGGACCCAATGGCATGCGGATGGACAAGGTTTTTGAGTCCCAGAGCCCAGTGCACAATGAAATAGGAGTGGAATGATCAGGCCCTCCATGCCCCGGGTCAGGCACCCTGGATTTGAATCCCAGGTTTCTGAATTTCATTGGGACTCACAGCGAGATAACCCCTCCCTCAAATCTGGGTCTCATCTCCTTCCTCTGTAAAATGGGGATAAGATATGTCTTTATCCTTGGAGGAGGTCAAGAGCTAAGGGGCCCAATCACAGCGCTGCCGCGGTGCCTGCAGCCTGCCTGTACTCCACAGTGCCTTCCTCTGCCTGCATAGACATTCTCACACCAGGCCCCACTCTCTCCCCCAAGTACTGGCAAGGCCTTGTGTTTTGGGGTGCCTTCGAGAAAGAAATGTGGCTCTTCAGAACCCAATGACCCGTCGCTACAGCTCCCTGAATCTCAGTTGGCTGAATGGGACATGATGGTGATGATGGCCCTTACTTTGCCCTCTGAGGATCAATAAAAGTAACAAACAGTACTTGTCGGTTCCAGGGTTAGTTTTCTTGAGCATTTTGTCTTAATTCTCACAATAACCTGGGAGGTTGAAACCAATATCGAATTGCTGGGAACATCCATGATTAGAGAAATGAAGTAGGTTCTCCAAGTTTACTCAACAGACAAGTTTCAGATATAAGAGGCTGGACTCCAACCTGGGACTCTGGCTCCAGAACTAGGGACACTGTCTACCGCTATTGTGAGGTCCTCACTGGGGCACGGACACTGAGGGCCGGGGAGGCTCAGCTGAAGCTGCTTTTCCATTGCAATTATGATTCTCCCCTGTTCTAAAATGTCAGAGCACTTCCCCCCTGCCCCTCAGTCTTTACTGGAACAGCATCATCTGTCAGCTACAGTGGTTTCTGCAGGGAAGCCTTCATTGAGTCTGAACTGCCATTTGTCAGCCTTTATTTGAGCCCAGCCTGGAGAACGACCCTCCAGAGACCGCGGCGATTTGGGCAGGGTCTCTGCACCTTCACCCACCTTTTTGGGCAACAGGCTATGATCCCATCCACTGAGGTGAGCTTGGGGCCTCAGTCTGTCTCTTAGAGTCTGGCTCTGACAGTCACCCTGCGGGATAGGGGAAAACTGGGTGTAAATTTTGGAACCTCATATTCAGAAGTGATCTTGGACACCTGCAGCATCTGGTCTCATTGGGTGAGTGCTCACCTCTCCTCCATGCAGGGGCCGCACTGCTGACGTTATTCTGTCCTCTGCAGAGTGTCTGTACGAGACAATAGTGCTCACCATGTGTTCCCTGCGGTCCAGACCGTATTCTGAACCCATGTTGTCTCTGCAGTTTCTTTTCTTTTTTTTTTTTAAATCCTCAACTGAGGATATTTTTTCCATTGCTTTTTCAGAGAGAGTGGAAGGGAGAGAGAGAAACAGAGAGAAACATCAGTGTGAGAGGGACACATCAATTGGTTGCCTCCCACACAAGTCAGGGCTGCGGATCAAGCCTACAGCTGAGGTACCTGCCCTTGACCAGAATCGAACCCAAGACCCTTCAGTCCACTGGCCAATGCTCTAACCACTGAGCAAATCGGCCAGGGCTGCAGTTTCTTTTTGTCTGCACGAGGGATCTTTGTATTGGAACAGAGTTTTTTGTTTGTTTGTTTGTTTGTTTGTTTGTTTGTTTGTTTGTTTTAACCCTGACCCCAGTGCCCAGCACACTGGGGCCACAACTGAGACCCTTACTCCAGATTCCAGTTAACAGATATAAATACACTTTTTAGGCTACAATGTATATAATACAAATTAAATGTAGGTCATTTTAAAGAGAATAATAATGATGGTCACAGCTAAAAGCCCCTAAGCATAGACCTGGTGTTACCTCAGTTTCAGGCACAGTCCAAACTTCACTCAATGAATTCTAAGATCATTATCATTTCTTAGCTTTGAGATTCTTTACTGATTGTGCTGCTATTTGTATTTTACAATATTTTATTGGCCTATTTATTGTCTTTCTTTCACTCCATCCAGTAGGAAGTTTTATCACCCACCTTCATCAAAAACAGGTAAGTAAAATACTCCTACAGAATCCATTTGTAACGCATGCTCTGTAAGGTCAAACTTCATAGCCAGCAATTGCTATAAAGACACTAAGTTTCACTCACTTAATAAAACACACAGTCTTCATGCTCTTCACTTCCTGGGGAGCAAAGCTCTTAGAATGAACTTCAGGAGGCCCAGTGTGTTTGCTCAGAGGTGGAGACAAGAATACTCCAGACACGTGTAGAGGAAGCATGGAGGCAACATATTAGGCAGCCCCAAAGCAAGCCGATGGGATGGCACCAGGCCTTCTCGTTCCTCGGAATAAATCCCATATGGCTCTCTATTTGTGTTCCAACACCAGAAAATAATTTACATAATATTTCTTACTCTATTTTCTGGGATGTTGTCTATTTTTTCTAAGACTATGACATGTATCTGGGAATATGATTACTTAGCAAATTTACTTTGCCAAGATGGTTACAATGTTGGCACCATTGAAGGTGTTGAAAGTGAGCATCTGAACCTGTGATAAAGATTTATATCCCAGGATCTCACTGCCTTGCTGGGAAATAATGATTATTTCATCTGTTGATGCCATGACAGTGTCTGCATGGGGACTGAACATTATTTCACACCAGACAGCACACTCTTCACTTTCTTAAATGTTATGCTTAGAAGTACAAACGTTTCAAATTTTAATTAAGTCCAATTTATTATTTTTTATTTTGTGGCTAATCCTTTAGTGCCTTCTCTTAGTGGCTAACTCAGGTTCAGGAAGATGCTCTCCTGTTTTCTTCTCTAAGTTTTATAGTTTCATCCCATACTTAGATCTGTGATCTATTGTAAGTTGATTTTTGTTTAGGTTGGAGTTAAGGGCCTCAATTTATTTTTCTGCAAACAGACACACAGTTATCCCAGCATCTTTTGTTGCAAAGACTTACCCCATTGGCTGATATTGGGACCTTGTACAAAGAGCAATGGGCCTTAATAATTTTGGATTCTTAGTTCTGGTTGCGCCTTTCTCACTGGTTCCTGGCTTTTGCTGGCTTCCCTTTCAGTGGCCTTTCTCTGAGGCCCCATCCCCATGACTTCACTTCGTCCCAGCCGCTCTTTTTCCCTGATTGGTGATGGACAGCCTCACACTGACCAAATCTTTTTCTGTCCTTAAAAACCACTTCCTGCACGAAATTATGTGCAAGAAGCTTGCCGTTGGTTTCCGTTTGCCTTCTGTACGGAAATCATGTGTCCCAACATGGCGGCCCCCATGGCGCCACCGACTCTTGGGCGCGGACATATTGCCAACGAAGACCGGAAGTCGTCACCAGCAGTCGTCGGCCGCGTTTTCTCAAAATCCTCGGATCCTCGTGGGCTGCTGCAGACCGAGCCGGACGGGTGCCAGCGCCGAGGTGTTTCCGGAGACTGCAGAGTTTGAGCCCATTGTGTAGGTCTGGAGAGGAATTCAGGTCAGTGTGGGGGTCTCATCCCCAAAAGTTGTGGGGTTTTTTTGTGTGGGTTGTGTGTGTTTTTTTGGTCACTATAGTTTTGTTTCTCTCGGTGACGAGTGGGCGTGCTGGTGTGCGGAGCGTGGGACGGTCCCGGGGCCGCGGGGGGGGGCAGCCGCGCCCGGGCGGAGCTAGTTAATGGGACCTGCTGGAAGCCGGACTAGAGGCACTGAGGGGAACGGGGCGCGCGTGTGCGAGGTCGCGGGGGCCCGGGGCGCAGCTGAGGCGTCTGTGGAGCTAACGCCCTTGTCCCGACTCTCCGGGCGCGGGGTCCTGCGGGTCACCCCACTTGCAGGGGGTGCGCGTGGCATTTAAGGTGACCGCGGCGTGGGGTTCAGGCTGGGGGTGTAACAGGCGGCGAGTGGCGCCGGGCCGGCGGGGTCGGGGTCGCGGGGCGCCTGCCCGGGTTTCCGGTGAACGAGGAGGTGTGCCTGGGGTCCGGTCCCGGAGGATCGTGGGGGCGGAGTTGAGGCGCCCGGGCCCCGGGGCTTGGTGAAGGCTGAGGCCTCGGCGGCTGCAGGGAAGGCAGCAGGGCCCAGGGCACTAGTTTCAAACCATCTGATTTTATTTTATTTTTAATATGTCTGTATTGATTTCAGAGAGAGGAAGGGAGAGGAAGAGAGAAACAGTAATGATGAGAGTCATGAATGGGCTGCCTCCTGCACAGCCTACAGCCTGGGCTGTGCGCTGACCTGGAATCCAACCGCGATTTCCTGGATCATGGGTCGATGCTCAACCACTGAGCCATGCTGGCCGGGCCAAACCATCTGATTTTAACCTTTAATCCACCATTTGACTACAGAGCCAGGGACTAAACTAGCAACACCTATTTGTCATGTATCCTCTGTGGCACCTTTGGCTCTGCAAAGGCAGGATTGGGTCGTTGTGGCAGACATTTTGGTCTGCAAATTGGAAAATGTTAATCTGTCTCTTTCAGAAAATGTTTGCCAGCGCCTGCTCTCAGCTCTTAATATATAGATAGCAGGGGACACTCTTGCTTATTTGCCTGACATACATTCATACGTTTTCCTTTGCTAACAGAGTCTCGATTTTACTTAATATCCATCCCTCTGGCAAGGTGACCCGTATCCCAGTGTATTAGTAAGTCCTGGTCCATCTTAGTTAACCGTGGTGGTTCCAGCTCCCATTGCTAGTGCTTGAACTACCTATGAGCATAGGTACATGGTAGAGTTCTAACTATGTATGTGAAAATCTGGTAGTCGGTTCTGGGAGACAATCTTCTCTTTTAAATACATAACTCCTTGAGTTTAAAGGGAAGCATTTTGCCACACTAAAAATATGCGACTTTGAAATATTGGTTATTTTAGGCTTCTTAATTTGAAGAATCTGAAGCCCTGGGAGAAAACCTCCTAGAAGCTGCGGCTTGTGAGGGATATTTACATTTGTAAGAGCAGCCTCACCTGTAAGGGCTTCTCCTTCACTGTGACTAAACTGCTTTAACAATCAGTGGCGGAAGCGGGATTTAACATTTGCAGAAGAACCTTAAGCTTGTTTACTGTGTTTTTCTGGATAATCTCTGCTAAGTGACTCCACCTCCCACACTTTTTGACTTCAGGTGAAGGTGGTATTTCAGATGATGGCATTTGCCGATTTGGCCAGTTACTCCGCTTTCCTGGGTCACTTCCATGTGTATGGGGGTATACATGTTTTAACTTTTTGATTCTCCCCCCCTTCCCCCCATTTAATCTGTGTTATATTGTTACCGGAGGAAAAAATCCTGGCCTTTAGCAGGTCTACCAGTGGCTGGCTGGCTGGCAGTGTCTGGGTTCTTGACTTCATTCAAGAAAGGTTTCACAACACCAGTCCAAATTATTTTTGAAACTATGTTTATTAAAGAAGGGCATGATGAAACAAGGAAGGGCTTAGAATAGTGGATGCAACAGGAGAGCCTAAGCGGGACTGCCTTGGTCCTCTGGAAATGTTATAGGAAAGAAATGGGCTTGGGCCTGAGGGGGCCTGCCTGTGGTGGCTGATGTGTGTGGGGTCTTGACTTCATGCAGGAAAGATGTCACAATATGTGACCGGGTAATTTTTATTTATTATTTTTTAAAATATATTTTTATTGATTTCAAAGAGAGGAAGGGGGAGAGAGAGAAACCTCAATGAGAGTCATTGACCGGCTGCCTCCCACACGCCCCCTGATGGGGTTCGGGCCTGCACCCCCGGCATGTGCCCTGACCGGGATCAAACCAGGATCTCCTGGATCACAGGTCTGATGCTCAACCTCTGAGCCACACCAGCCGTGCTGCCCAGATGATTTTTAGAGGATGTTTATTAAAGCTGGGTTTGGTGAAACAAGGGCCTAAGATAGAAGAAGCAGCAGGAGAGGGCCTAGATGGGGCTGCTTTGGCTCACTAAGAAGTCAGACAAAATGGGCTGCCACTGCCCATTGCTCCCTGGTTGCCAAGCCTTATGGAATCCCTCAGAGTTTAGAGGTGGGGGGGGG